GGAATCCACACCATACTTTGAGGGACGATAACCTGAAAAGCTCACAATAAGTGTTCCAAGCAAATGGTGGGAATGTTTTCCATACGTGATCGCGAACTTTCCTGTTCTTCACTATGTTGAATATTTTTTTAATAAAAAACATCGATTTTGAAACTGCAGTACCACTACCATCGCAAGATATGAAAACAAGAATTATGCAGAGGGGCAGAGATTCAGCAAACTCTCTTAGTGTTTGGCTCCGCAGCGAGTGAGTCATCAGTGAAGTTGACAGCTCAGTCTTTTTAACTTTATCACGTTCTTTGCTGTGAAAATTCCCTTCAAAAAGTTAAAGGCATGCCCCAGGATCACATTGGTGTGGCTCTTGCACACGAATGCGAATGTATTGGTGCGAAATGGGCCGGCAGTAAAGAAAAAAGGAAAAGAATCCGTCAAAAACGCTTAGGTTAAGGGCTCACTCACCTTCCTAATCGGCTGTGCTAAGGGAATGAGAGACTAAGCGCGGAGAGGAGAGTATGAGGCGAGAGAGCGCTACAGATGAGAGAGCGCCAGACAACAGCCTGATAAGAGAAAAAATCTGCAGCTTCAGCAGCTTACTTTGCAAGGCCCAAGCGCTCTTGTCGGTTGGTTTCCGTGCACGGGAACGCCACATTGTGATTGTCCTGTGGGAGGTCTATACAACAGACGGAAAGCCTTCACACGAACTCTGCCTCAGTTGTGCCTTTGAGTTAACCTACAGTACTAGATCCTTCGTTCTGCGCTTACGCTGGCTAGCGCAGAATGAAGAGATCTACTGTAAGTTATCTTGTAATCCGAACTGCTTTCGAAAGCTGGTGTGCGACAGAAAGGTAGTTACTACGCGACAATAAGAGTTTTAGGAACAAGTAAGGTGAACAAGGTCGGGAAAAAAAAGCTGCTTCTTAATTTCGGTTCTATGATCAGCTTGTGCCTTAGCGACGGCTGATAAGTCTTTCGAAGGCTAGAGGACTGAAGTCGAATCTAACACTAAAGCTTCGTCTCGCTCACCTCTTTCTGTCCTCGGTATGAACGCGGATCCCACTGTAGTCGACGATCGTACCATCGCTGAGTGTGAGAAATCACATAAGCAGCCAATTGTTCGTTTTCTTTCTGTAAATGGTATCATAAGAGCTTTTCACTTCGCTCTTGTTGTGAGTGGCTTCATGTGACCATGCAAGTCAGAGTTCTCAGTTCCTGCGTACTTCATTGGCAACAAGTTTTCCATTGTATGTCACTTGTAATTCAACCCTTTGAGTAGGACTAACTTCGAAAAATAACTGGATAACAACTTACTACTTCGACAAGAATTCCCAGAACAATTGTCATATTGATGACGACTGGTCCGTTTGTGAATGGAATCACTCGCTTGTCATAGTTGGCAAAGATGTCGTGAAGAATGAGCGACAGTGTCGTTGTCTGAAATTAGCCACATTTTCAAGTGATTGACTCAGTTTATATTGACCAGATTAGTCCCCCGTCAACCGCCGGGACCTTCCTTTCCTGCGCAAGCTTTCTATCCTCCGCTATGGTCCCTTCCTCCTGTGACACCAACACCTCCTGGAAGTGACGCGTATGCAACACAATGGTGTTTCATACAGTAGAAGGGACACAATCATGATATGACGGTAGATTTTTCGCTTCCCTTCCTCATCCTCCCTTCCTCTCTCCACTGCCCTCCAGCTGCCACTGCAGCACCATGTGGAATGAACGGAAGTGTGCTAAGCAGGTGTTTATATAGCCCTAAGAGTGTTATCACAACTATCCTGCTACAAAACATTGATATCTCAAATCCTGTAAGCTACCCGATTTGTTAGCGGTTTGTTTATCCCATGAGCTTCCTTCTCACTCACTTCATTTTGCGGACGGACACACATACATACACACACACACACACACACACACACACACACATACAGATACACAAACCGACACACAAAGTTAGCGCTTTATATAATAGAAGGATATTGCGAAAAAGTAAGAAAGAACCGTCTGGTTGCAATGCGTTGATGTTACGTTCATCTGATGGGTTCCATTCATGTGATAAGCCTACTCACGTTAAAATTAATCAAATATTCTACGTTCATGCCGTAGCCAAGGTCAACGGTATCGTGCAGAGATTAACGAGAACCTCCTAGACCAAAGAAAGACGGGATGGTGTGCACAAGAGTTCGCAGCGGAAAGGGAAGAAATTATTGTGAGTGGAAGTGCGAGGTGCATTTTTACGGCTGTAGGAAAGATGAATGTGTGGGAAAATGAAATGTACTATTTTCATGTTCACGACTACTATCGAAATTTTCATTAACACAAACCATGAGTGAGAAAAATGCATGTTCAATTGCCTCCACGCCCCTTTACGGAAGACGAGCGTATGGCTCCAAAGGGGGCCTACACCAAAACGTCACGCAGTGGTTCATGCCCATACTGCACATTCCAAAGAAAATACGACGTTTTTGACCAAACTATAGAGCAAGGAGTGTAGGTAGCCACTCGAGCAAAAGGACCTGACCTCCAGTGGATGAGAAAAAATTCAGATAGAGAATACCTGTAGTTGGCAGCTTTGCAGGTCAGATTCTTACAACACAAAATTTCTATCATGTTTGGCGTTCCCAACGAAAACTCCAAAAAACATTGTAAGTGTTCTCATTGAGTAACCGCTGTGTTACGCCGCAGTTCGCGTTACGAAAGTTATAATTGCATTATTGTTTATTAATTACAAAGTTAGTAATTACAGTTATCGTTTACTACCAATATTATGTATGTACTTATTGAAATTTCATTGGAATGTTGAAAACTTGCGCTTACAAGAAAATAACCCAAAAAATCATAAAAGGAAACATCTTGAAGAGTTTCCAAGCCGATAAATTACTGAAGCTTGTCAACTCTTACCAGAAGGCTCAAATCTCCTAGTTTTCTAAGCGTAATACATTTTGTCAAAAATTAACTTTAACAAAGTTATGGTTCATTGGAGGCTGAAAACTTTTATGTGAAGGAAAAGTGAAGCGCTCCCACATATACTATATTATTAGGTTGTCTCATAAACAGTGTCGCTTTTTTTCAACCAAAAATTTTCATCTAAATCCCATGCTTTTACATCGTGTCATATACCATTCGAAAGAGAATTGTCTGCTCTACAAGATGCTATGTTCCACTTCCACCTCTGTTCCAGGGTTTTCAAATTTTAGGCCTGCGAAATGGGAGGTCCAGCCGACAAAAATTGACCAAACCGACAACTATCTCTAACTTTATCTTTCCCTTGGGAGAAATCAATCAATGATGTACCCTCTACTTATGCATGACCTCTTCTAAACATTACACTATTAGGTTTCCCAACGAATT